TGACAGGCAACCTTCTTTCTGAGCGGAATGCAGCTAGTAACTTGCACGTGATTTAGTCACATGCTACTGAAATAGATGATTTTGCTCACTATTCAATCCAATGTCCAAATGAAGAAGGAATAAATGAATTAAGAAGGAAATGAACAAAAGGCTGTCATTGCTGACAAATAAGCATAGGTTGGAGACAATAGAAAACACGCTGTTTTAGTAAGAAAATCTTGGATCCTTCACTAGTTTGTAATGTGTCATACATCACAGACTCAAATCTGCCGGAGACTGGCAAACAACCTGCATTTGATCAGGGGGCTGGTTCTGCACTTGTCAGAAGTGCGCAGGATCGTGACCGTTACAAGATCAGAATGTGTTTCGGTGGTTTTCTACTGTTTTTCTTGCAAAGATAAGATCCCAAGTTCTCTTGTGGCTGGATGAGAAAGAGCTTGTGTTTATAAAACTTACTACCTAAGATAGTGATAATACATTTTTGTTACAAATGACACAGGGGAATTTTTCCCTTCTTTAATGAAATTCGGAAGTCAGAAGCAGAATATGGTACACTCCATTGCTTAATCTAGAGAAGGGTATGAAAGCACAAGTTTCTAGCTTGTAAAAATAACATTTTTCTGATGTAGAAAAACTGTTGGGGAGAAGGATTCTCTAGGATTCTCTTCTCTGAAATCGCTGGAATTGCTTTATCGTTTGACAAGGAAAAATTTGCTGATTTGGGACTTTCTTCTGGAATATCCAGAAGCATTCTGATCTTGAGATTGTTGTTTTCTGGACATGTTTTCATTAGGAGAAAGGAAAGTTCTTACCTTGTGTGCAGAAGAATCTTGTACAAGCCAACAGAGGAAGGCAATGTGTAGTTTAAGTGTTGAGATACAAGGCTTCGCCCAAATATTTCAGCCCATTTCAAGGCTGAAATGACGAATTTTTGCTCTCTGTAATTACATGGCTATATGTTAGTGAGCAGGGGAAGAAGCGCTGGTTTCTGTGGTGAGGCAGAGGTCTCGAATAGGCCTGTTACTCTCTACATACTGGTTACATGACAGATGTCCCTACACTGACATCTCCATGTGCGGTACACAGACAGCAGCCTGCAGAGGGGTTTTACATCAGGGGAGCCTAAACCTTTTTTGCAGGTATGTTTTCTCATTTCAGGGAATTATAATATAAAATGTTAAATGACACATTTTTATAATAAGATACACTTAAGTCAGACAAATGAGGAGATTTTAATGATTGAAGCTGAGCCTGGGCTATTTCTGCTCCCTCCACTTCCCCTAGGCTGTCTTAAAGAAAAGCATGTGCTCCACAGCATTGCTTTTTAATTAGCAGAAAACCTATTGTGCAAATTCGTAGCTCAGAGCCCTCATGCAGCGGGTTGTGCAGAGACAGCAGCCTCGTATGGGAGCACGAGCCCATGAATTTTCTTGCCCTGGCACCCCCCTAAGTGAGGGTTGGCTTCGGCTCATGATTATTTTATGTGATGACAGCTTGTGTTTCGCAAGCACTGAGGCAGGGGTAGTAACTGAGGAGGACACAATGACAGGTGATTGCTCTGTTGTCTCAGTGGCATCACTGAACTTTATTCTAGAGGTATCAAACCATCTGCTTATACCTTTCTTTACCCTCTACAGATATCTGGCACTGTTAGGGACACAGAGGATGGTTTCTACTTTCTGCTTTCCTCTTTTCAACTTCTCTTGTATGATTTTTTTCTTTCTTTTCAATCCACTGTGCTTTTAATGAACCTGCACAAATAATAGAAACACAGATATAAATGAAAGTACTTACCATTTAACTATTTTACTCATTTTCTACCGTCAGTAAGGAGCTACAGTTCATACAGGCAGACTTTTAGAAATAGATATGGCCCTTTCAGTGCAGAGCAGCAGTTTCCAGTAGCCTCTTTCAGAGCGTGTCAGGTACATGCTGCCCCGACCTGCTCGCTATTAATTGCTATCAGGGTTGCAGGATTATAAAGAAGCAGGGAAGCTGTGGGGGAAAATAGCTTTTATCCCCTGTTGGTTGCTTCGCAGTTTCATCTCAGCCTTAGGCACGTCACTAAACACTGTCTTTTGAGACTCCCACTTAAATTTATGGAGACAGAAGGACAACTCTAGGAGATTCAAGTGATAGAAGCCTTTGTATGAATTCTTTTTCTGCTCATATTGTAGGGAGACTGCCATGACGTGAATGACTGTGACACAGAACTGTAACTCTGTATGCATCTTCTTAATCAGAAATGCCAACTGCATGCACAAAAAAGAGTGCTTCTCAAGTCATGAGATTTACTTACATGGATCTTTTTCAAGAAAATGCTTAAATAAATGCTATTTTCTTTTCTGCTTTCTTTCTCTAACACAATGTATACTCAATTCATGAGTTTAAGCTTTCCTCTTTGATGAAGAATTGTTTTGTTTTGTTTTTTAAAGAGATGCTGAGACTCTCTTGCTGCTTTAGTTCAAGCATTAGGCTAAGGAGGGTGTGCCAAACATGACAGCACTTTTGCAAGGCCTAAGAATGTGGTAACACAGTATGCATTAGGGAGGTTTGGGGAGGAGTCCCTTTCTTATACAGCTTCTCAGATGTCAAAAACTTGTCCAAGATGTATCTATCCTCCAGGTAAATGCCTCTGGGTTATTGAGCTCTCTTCTTCTCTGCAAATCTAAGTGGAATAATTTAGAATTTGCTAGTGAATGCCACAAACAGAGATGGACAGATGCAATGTCATTTCATAAGCCTTATCTCCAGTGAAAGCAAGAATAACAAATCTTGGCAGTTAAAACCGTTGAGCTAAAAATGTAAAACTTAACTCTTGCAGGTAAAGAAAGTTGTACAACAGGAAGGCTTCAGCAGAAGAAAGCGAGGATATAGAGACATCAATGACATTGACATCAACATGAATGACCCTTTATTTACAAAGCAATGGTACCTGGTACGTTTTTGAAAGAAACTTATAGTTATAATACGTAAATAATTAGCATGCAAGTTATTCTGTGCTCTTGCAGTGTCTAGCAAGTGTTCTTTCTGAACACCCCACAAGAACCTCAGAGTGTATCTAAGGAAATATTTCCAGTTTGTTTCTTTTCTTTTTTTTTTTTTTCTTAATATCTCTACCTTTTTATGCTGGGAAGACCCAGTACATACCTAGAGATAAATTTCATTTTAGTCGAATTCATTTTAGTCGAAAGAGCTTTTGGAGACTTTAAAGGAGACTGTATTGGTATCCTGTCAGCATTCTTGGTGTGCTGATATGATCCTTAAAACTGCATGTGCATCATGTCTTGAGACTGTTGCCAGGTAAGACTAAAGAACATTAGAACATTAGAACAAAAAGTTCTAATGTACTGACTAGGAAAAGTTGAGAGTTTTCTTTCTTACAGAAGTGTTAATATTGTTCAACTGATTTTTTTCTTGTCAAATATATTTTGGACTTAAGCTAATGGCAAAAGAAATTTATTTTTGGCTGATTTTTTTCATTTTTTAATGTTTATAAGGAAAAGCTTTTTCTCTTAAAAAAATGAATATTTCCCTAAAAGTAGTCAGTGGCATCTTTCTATTAAAATGTTTAATCTGTTGGTCAATCTTAATATTTACATATTTATGATGAAATATTTTGTAAATGCAATGTCATCTTGTCCACTAAGATTATTCTTTTAGGCTATGAATAGTGTTCCTTATTCTTTTTCTTTTTCATGCATTTCCTGTATTTTATGAATCTATCAAATCTGGCTTTTTTTTCCTTAGATGAGCTTTGGTTAATGACAGAACTCTTCTTCTCTTCTTCTTATATATTAGATTAACACTGGTCAAGCAGATGGGACCCCTGGGCTTGACCTTAACGTAGCCGAAGCATGGGAGCTGGGATACACAGGGAAAGGAGTTACCATAGGAATTATGGATGATGGTAAGTGAAGACTGCATGTTAATTTAATACCTCAAGTAACATTCTCCATGTAATCCAAACAAACAAACAAAAAAGATTTTAATTTAATAATGGATTAATGGATTGCTTACCATGCTGAGACTAATTACAAACCTCTGTAAAGACTTTGAGACCCTTGGGGAAAGGATGTTATGAAGTGTTGCACTAGGGATACTGAAACATGGATCTCCAAGAACCAAAAGTAGTTACCACACAGAGATCTTTCAGGATTTAACTGGAATGACCATTAGCCAAAGGAGAATCTCTCCTTGACTTCTGAGGGCACTGACTAGGAGACTTAATTGCCTTGCAAAAAGTGCTCATGAAAACATTTTCAGGGTTGCATTATTCTCAAAGTCATGCTTGACAGGCAAAATAATTAAACACTTTCATGCTGAAAGTCCTTAAAGACCTGCCTATTAAATATATTACTAACTTGAGGCAAAGTTCAAGGAAGATGAGGATCAGGTACAGTTGGAGGCACAGCTTCATAGCTTCCAAATATCAAAGTACTCTGGATTCCTAACAGTGCTGAGGTGCAGAAATTCTGTGCAGTTCTCTCACCATTTTGGGAGGGTAAAATTTTGAAATGTTGTCATGACTGAATAATACTAAAATAAATAAGATGTCTGAATCCATATATGCTTTCTAAGGTCAACTGAGATCTCTCCATCTTCATTTTTGTTTCTCATCTGCTTAATTCTAAAAGTCTTTGTGGAAGTAAGAAAGTGGACTCACGCATCTCTATATTGATGCCATCACATATCACAGTGTCAGTGTCCCACAGAGCCAGACCTCACATTCAGAACGCCTAGACATGGGCTTTTATGGGGATGGCAATAAACTAATGTAGAATCAGCCCAAATAAATCTACTGGAAGCTGTGGGCCTGTCAGATATGGCTTGTGTTCACTTCCAGTAATTCTAGAAGAGAGCAGCCGAATACCACAGCCCTTCACTGAGACCTGTGTTGTCCACCTCCCATTGGCATCAGCAGGGCTCCCTGCTGATATTGCAGGGATTTCTTCACACACATCTAGTGTTAAGGATCCTACCTAAGGGAAGGTAATAGTAGTCTCATCAGTAAGGTAATGTGCAGGTAAAATTGAGCACATACCAGGTTGGTGGTTGGAGACACAGGGAAAGGTTATAGCCAGAAGGGAACAGGAGATTGCTGGCTGTTTTGTCTGCCTGTTTTAACTGCTTGTGCCAGCTTATCCCATCCGAGATCTACTGCTTTTGTTATTCTTTTAACATATTATTATTATCTACTATTATTATTGTTATTATTATCTACTGCTTTTTTGTAATTCTCTCTGTGAGGACTGTACACTTCCCATATCTGGAGATAGTTTGTGCATTAACATGAGGATATTCTGCACCACTGCTCTGCTATGGGCTTGAGAACAGTACACAGGCACAGAGCCATTTAAAATCACATTCTGTAAAATCCCAGTGTTTCCCTGGTTTCTGAGTGTCCTGTCTGATCCTGTGGATAGAGACAACTGTTCGTCTTCATTCAGCTGCACCCCAGGTGCTCGTTTGAGCAGAGTCCCAGGTGAATTGAGAATTCCTTCTGGCATAATATTTCATAGTTTTGGTTAGTCTCAATTGGCATAAAATCAGTCAGTGAGCTTTAGTGAATGTTTGACTGGACTTGTTTCTAATTTCTAGTTTGTATCGACCTTAAAGAACCAAGTAGCCGAATGCTCAGGACCTAGTTTTCAAAGCAAGTATTGTGATGCTGTATCTAAAGGGCCGGGATCTCAGACTGTAGCCCGTGCCCAGATACTTGCTAAAATGCTCTAATTCAGCATTAGGCCCCCACTTCCCCCTGCCTATCATACACAGAATAAAACATATTTGTCGTAGTGATCTTTCCAGTCCAATTTAGGCAATTTTCCGTGTACTTAATTTACAGTTTTCAGTGGTTAAAATACTCTTTTTATAGCCTGTACTGATCCATTGCTTACTGAAGTTGACAGTTTTGGTATCCTTTGAGATGACAGTACTTGTATATGGATAAAATGTGATTAGAATTAGCCTTACTAAACAACTATTATCTAGTTTACAAACTGGGTCAGTACATTTTGTAGCTGACCTCACTTCTTCAGCTCACACCTGAATTTTGACATAAATGATAGAAAACCCAAATCAGGGTCTGAAGCAGAAATGGTACCCCCATTTAAAAGTCCACATGTAAAAACTGGGATCTCACTTCAGTTAATTGCATTATTCACTACTGCTATTTCCTGTGTTTGTAATGGAACCTTACCCTATTCTCTGATCATTGTAAAGTCTTTTTTGAAACTTCTAACCTTTGGTCATTATCTTATTGCAGGAATTGATTATCTGCATCCTGATCTTGCCTCAAATTATGTAAGTACATTCTGACCTTTTCTGTAAAATGTGGAATTTCTTATTGTTACGATCTTTTTTTCATACAAAAGTTTAAGCAATTAGGAGAATAAGAGCACAGTTGAATTGCTGGTCTTACAGATTATACTTTTTGCTTTGCAAAAGCAGCAGACTAAAAATGGAACAGCCTGTGGAGGAAATGAAAAGGTGAGAAGGCTCTCGGTAGAGAATGACAGTGCTGCCTCACATTAATAAGCTGCAGCTCACAATAGTGGATTTAGGACAGAAAGGAGTAACCTGGGAATTGGCTCCAAATCCTGCTATTAAGATGCAGAATGTACCAGTCACCTGAAGGGGTACTGAGCTGTGGGCTGTGGCAAGGCTGCTGCTGTATTAGCCTTTGAAACCTCTGGGAATGGTTTCATTTCTCCGCAACACAGGATTTGATGCAGTGCTCCAGAACATAAAGCATGTGCAGGACAGATTTTATATTCTTGGCATGGGCTGTGACAACTGATTCTTCCTCAAGCATCCCTCAAATTTACCTTCACACTTGAGGCTTGCTGGCTGTGCAAGCTGTGGGGGAATGCCAGCTTCCAGTTACTCTGCTTTATATTTTCCTGCAGCCAGTGGCTTCACTTCAGGCAGCCCTGCCTTCTTCACCTGAGCACATCAGTGTGGTTTTTAACTGTGATTAAATGCACAGAAGAACAAAGGAGATTAGAAAAATGGTAAAAAAAAATGAGTCATTCAGATAGAATGGCTCCAAAATGAGAAAGAGCACTATATTTATTCCTACATATGAGTTACTACAGTTTACATGATAATAAACAGCCTGCACAGTAAAGACCTAGCCCCGATGATGTTCTTGGTAAAGAATATATAGAGCTGGAAAGTGTTCACTTAAGGGTCCGGAATTTGGGAGATAGCTGCCCATAGGATATGAAGTGCAGAGTAGACAGTTTCACTCCTTATTAATTGGTTGAATAACTTGACTACAGCTAGTTAGGTCCTACCCTAACTGTAAAAATCCTCAGACCAAAGGGATTATTCAATAGGATGTTTCCTTAAATTGATAAGAGCAAAGAAGTCTGCACAAAGTCTATGTCACTGTAGGAATGGGTCACAGGAATATGTTAAGCAGCATATGAGCTGGAAACAGCATTTTTTTTTTTACTCATTTGCTTTCTTTTTCAGCAGCAGTAGTGGACAAAACATATGTGAATATTCTTGTTTCATAAAGAATAACATAAATAAAATAATAAAAAATGATGTTTCAAATGGACAAGAAAAAAGTCTGCGCATACTTGTTTTCATGTCAAAGAGGAACATTTCTGTTGTTAACGGTCAATCTCCGATCATGTTCAGATACCAAAAATACATTTCCCAGTAATAGAGTGTGCTTTTCTCTTTTAATTCTGTAAATATTTTCTGTTTGATGGATAAACACTTGTCGGACTTAGCAGAAAGGTACTTTTTTGTTTTTACAGTGGAAATAGTGAGTATTCTAGAAATTCATGGAAAATGACATTTCAAAAGTAGAAAATGACATGATAGAACCCACAGCCTTAATGCTATAAGTCACAAAACAGTCGAACTGGAGAGCAATGTGAAAAAGGACATGTTAGAGATTAATTTGGGAGAAGAATGAGGGAAACAAACTGCAGTGATAGTCACGAATATCATGTGCAGAAACTGCTCTGCAATGAGAAGAAACTGGAGAAGCCTGTGGAGCAGTAACTTTGTTGTAGCAAACAATGACCCAGCAGTGGAGCCATGAAGGGGCTGTAGAGGGACAGGCTGGGGAATGGGAAAGCCACAGGAAGATGGTCTGGCCAGTGCAAGGGTGTTTGGCCTGGCTCCTGCAGGGTAGGTGGCTAGCCAGGCACAGTGAGGAGGGCACTGGGGAAAGACTGCTTGGTAAGACACATAATCAAATAGCAGAAATCCCATCTTGAAAGATCACAGTCTTAAATGAGTAACGAACTGAATGCACTAGAGCAAGGTTAACTCCTGCTGCTAAAATCCCCCTTCTCCTCCCTCTCCCGTGTCTAACAGTGAGCACAGGGCTCTTCTCAGCTGCACTCAGCCTCTCTCTCCCCTTGCGAGGTTGTGCCAGCCTTAAGTCTTAGCAGCTCCTACCTGACATTGCCCGCAGTGTCTCTGAGGCCACAGGGGCCTTTTTTACCCAGCAGGTAGTAATTTGAGCATGAACTAAAGTCAAGAAATGAAATCCAGCTGAAGAAAAGATCAGTCTAGTCCTAAAAATGCAGTGAAGTCAGTCTGCTAGGAAATAGCCACGCACTGGGCTAGCGTGGTATTGTACTCCATGCCTCCACCTCATACAGTTTTTATTTGTGTCCAGAGTTTCACCTTTCATAACGTTTACATTTTGGGGCAACTTTTTTTTTTGGAAGTGTGTTGGTTGTTCTTAGGAAGCGGAGAGCCAACAGTGTAGGTTTGTAGATGGCTGCACTACCTTGAGTTTAGCACTTAGAGACAACAAGAGTTGGGAAAGAGAAAGAGCTTTCTAAAAATTTTTTTTTTTTTTTTGCTCAGGACCTGCCTCTTCCTGTGCAAAGTAATAGAGAGGAGGAAGCAAATTTGGTCCAAGTGAATCACTAAAATAAGGAGTGCGATGCTGACTAAATAAGGAGCTGGATCTTGTGATCTTATTCTAAATTAGGCTGAGCCAGGATCTCATCTTCTGTGTCTTTGTTATATCTCTTAAAGTCCTTTACCATATATTTGATTATGGAATATTTGGTGCTCTTTCTGTGTTTGTCAGAGAGGTAATCGAAAACTCTGAGTATTAATGCACCACTGACAGAGCAACTGGGAACTTAGCAGTGCCAGTTAAAAATTAATAGTAGAAACCCTTAAGCCAGTAATAACAGACTTGTATACGTTTTGAAATCCTGCTATTTCATCAGCATTGTTATTTGATGTGAAGTATACGGTTTCAAGTGTCTTCTGTGGTACGTTAATGACTGCAGTTTGTGGAATTCCTCATGCTTAATTTGGCTCTAAAGAGCATGGTGATAGTACTTGATCTTCCTACCGGTGCCTCCATCATTTCAGTTCCGTAGGTGAGATTTCATAGTTTCGATTGCAGATGAGATAATTTCAGTTGCTTTTGTCCAGGGATATGCCTTTATGGCAGAACATGCCAACATGGAATCATCATCTCTTAAAAGGAAGAAGTCCACATTTCTACTGTGTGGTATAATTTGATGCATCTCAGCCACAATCCTCTTTCCTCTGTCCTAAAAAAAACGCTCAGTCAACAGATTATCCTTCTGTTTCACAGATAGCATGGAGTGCCCTCCATCTATGTTTTTATTCTCACAGCCTGTTTTCTAATGTGCTACTTGGTGCAGTAATGAGAGACCAAACCTGCTCACACTAAGTTTTTTGGATTGCTCATGTGTTTAAAGACACGTGCGGCAGTGGCTTCAAAGCAATCAACATTTTGTAAGACTGGGCCTATAAAGTGCCCGAGAGATCAGTGGCTTCTGGAAAACGTCTTTACTACTCCCCTAGGTCAGCAAAAGAAGGTCCCAGTCTTGCAGGCCCTTAGACAGTCTCATAACTTTTGTTGTGATACCTGGTTACATTTACAGAAATTGATATGTACATTTAAGACTGATTTACAGCTCGGTTATCTCTTCTTTTGAGAAGTCTGATATTCCAAAATGGGCTTAATCCCAAACTGGAGTGTGAGGCTGATGATACTGCAACCACAAATATGAGAAAGGGGAATAGTGAAAATGTTAAATATGAAAAGAGCAAAAAACTCTAAATCAAAATTGAGAAAAAAAAAATCTAGTCTGTTGCTAATGAACTATGTTCTGCAGTCCCATCCCATGGAAAAAGCTTTATTCCCTCAGGAACAAGCACTGATAAGACAGGTCAAGCTAAACCCCAAGTGCCCTTTCAAGCTGAGCTGGAGAACCATCTGTCTCTCTTCATTCCTGACAGCCTTTGCCAGTACCTGGGAAGGAGCCTGGCTGCCCAAAGCCTCCCTGGCTGCTCTCCCAGCGCATCCTCCCAGCTGGCTGCAGTGTCGCTACTTGCTATGCTGGATCAGGGGCTTCTGGCAAAGGTGGAATTTTCCATTCTGTGCCGTGAGTGCAGAAAGCCTTGTTGCTGAAGGATCAATATTTTCTTCCAAGCCATGGAAACCCTGCGGAGGTTCAGCCTCAGGAAATTATATTTTCCCCACAAAGGGAACCCTTCATTATGAACTGATAATTAAAATGCTGAAGCCTAATGTACTCCAAGGTTTTCTTTCAGCTCAGACCATGTATACAAAGCCAGCCATTTTCAGGACTAGCTTCTCCAAGATACGGCATCTGAACTAGAAGGTAAAATAACAAGGTCTGTGTATTAGATATGTTTAATAAAACATGAGAACAGCAGCTGTAGGGGCTTGTGATTGCAAATTTCAGTACATTGTTTTGAAGAAAACTAACAGAGCAAATAGATTTTGCAAATAGATTTGCAGTGCTGTGAAAAGAAGCATAAACTGATGCCTCTCTGTCATAGTGGTTTGTGTTCTTGTGCTTTTGTAGTTGGCCAGCGTTTTCTGGTAAAGGTCAGTGTAGCTGCATTTTCCCGTTTACAGCAGCAGGGAGCTGATCAAATCTTGTAAGGGTTTTTTTCCCCTGGTTAGCAACAGCAAAGAAGATCCAAATCCCAGGAAGAGACTCTGGGCAGCACTAAAAGCTGGTAGTTCTAGTTTCTGAACAGTGCCTGGAGCCGAATGCTTGTTTAAAAAAGAGGGGAGAAGGAGAGTAGAGAAGGAGGTGGGGAGAGAGAGAGAGAGAGAGGAGACAACGGTGGGAAGTGATTGTGTGACGAGGTGGCTTTTTTTTTTTGAATATAAGTACTTATAAGAATTAGTCAGCAAATACTAGGAAAATGATAACAATATCATATATTCAGATAAAAAGGATTACAATGTTTTCTGTTGAAATCTATGGAAATCCATGGAAGTAAAATGTTTGCAAATACCCCTG